TCTCTCCTATATTTAAGCCAGGTTATTTAAAGGAATTCTTTCTGCTTTAAAAGTTTCATGAAAGCAATATTCACATCCATCATTCTTTTTCATCAGCACCTTTAAGCATACTTTTACATATAAGTAGGGATATTCATTTCTAGATAATTTAAATAAATTTTCATTCATTTCAAAATTTTCAAGTTGTTCACATCATGAATTATTTTATAACTAGAGCCATAAAAATGTTGAACTTGCTCATACTATATTTTTGCTTCATCTAAAAAGTCTAAGAAAAGCTAACTATGACTACTAGTAGAGATGACCTTCTATCTCAAAGCTTTCTTTTTTTTCATCATTACCTTGACCTGTCTGATTGTCTTTTAAATCTCAATACTAAGGTGGTCGATATACATCTATCTCCCCTGACTTTTAATCTTCTAATACTCACGAGCTTCAATCTCTTGATTATAGACTTGTTTCCATTCAACTTTTTTTCTTGCCATTCTCTATGGAAGTGAACAATGTGATCCTTGTTTTCTTGCAACTACATCTTTATGACCTTGATTTCTATTCTCAATGAATCTTTTTTCCTTTAAGTGTCCAGATGCCTCTTATTCTCGTATCTTAATTCTTTCTTTAGTTCTTCATTCTCTCCATGGATTCTATTTAATTTTCTTTTATGTGTTGCATGGGCTTTGCATGATTCCTTCTTTTCTCGTACTATCATATTGATTTTGTCACTGCTATCCCAAGCTTTACACTTTGAAAACACAAACTTCATCTTAAAACCACTCTATTTCATACCAATTTTAAAGTAGCTCTATTTCATATCGATCTTTGTTTTCCTTTACCTTGTCTTGTAATTGAGCCTTCAAGTTTTGGTTTTCCAAATGTAGCTCCTTAAGGTCACTCTGAGCTAAATCTCTCTTATTTGTCATCTTTTCTAGCATGTCTTTTTGCACACCTTCTTCATACTTGAGCTAACCTATTTTCTCTTGCAGCTTTTGGTTTTCTTTCTTCAACTTTTTTGTCTTAGCCTCAAACTCCTTCCTAGCAATCGCTAATTCCAATGGTGGTGGCTTAGCCCATGGGTCCACTAGTTATACTATCTCCTGACATGTCGACAACTTCAAATCATTGAATCACTTAGCTCTCCAATCTAGGTAAATCGTGGTTACATCATTTGTATTTCTTCCTAATTTTGACCTTACCGTATGCCCCCAAGCTTTAGTGATGACGCACATTTTAGTCATATAAACTTCTGTGCCATAGTCAAACTCAACCTGATCTAATCCTTGAGTTATCGGGATAAACTAATGGGACCCATATTGTCATCTAACCATTAATGGTGCATAATTGATGGCTCTCCAAATACCAAGTAGTGGAACCCAAGACTAATCTCCATAATTGTATAGAATATAAACTTGAGGCATACACGGTGCTTTTCAAGTCGCCCCATCTCGTTCTAAACTTTGGAAGAAAACCATTCATTGTTCCTTTGAAAGATTCCTAGACCATTCATTTGCATTAAACTTAGTTAACGATGCTAAGGCTCTTGTCTAAATCAATAATAGAGCTTAATCAGTGTTCCAAAAATGGCTCTGAATCTACATATACAACAGCTGAATGCATCAAACCAATCTTCCTTCTCTCTTTCTTTGGCAATAATTCAAAGATCTAATGGTCTTTGCCAAAATTGTCAGTGAAGGGTTAATCTTATGTTCCAACTGCACATAGAAGTCCACCACATATGTCTCTATATATCCTAAAGCTCTCAAAAAGATCACCAAACCATAAGTAGCTAAAACAAACATATCTATAACTCGATCTTTATTCGAACTTTGAAACGTGATATCTCGTAGAAAAGTCCACGGTACCCCTTTGAAAGCTCTAAGGCAGAATATTTTTCTATGGTAGGTATCAGGTCTTCTCTGTTGAACATGAAACACCAATATGCTGGATTCCAAAACCTTATGGCAGCTTTTAATATTTGATCATTAGGTTTCAACGGTATTAACAAAACAATATCTTCGTACTCTACTTTGAAGGCTAACTTTCTTTCTAGACTCCACTGATTCCACATACCCTCTAAATCCATCATATCATATCTTCTCAAATCCAAATAAACCAACTCAAGCAATTTTGAAACATACCCATCTATCAAATAGTCCCTTTCTATCTGTTGCTTGTTTTTTGACTGATCCTTGACTTCCCAAAATGTCTTACTTGTCAAAGATCCTAGTCAAGACTCTTGATATGCCATGAGAACTTCTATCAACAAATTATCTAGAATGTATATCCCTGATGTTATATTTTTAAAGGATGATGCATACAACAAACAAACAAACAAACAAAAAATGAAAACATAGAAAAATTAGTACCGGAAATTTAAAGAATGCAATGCAAAAAATAAATTAACAAACAAATTTTTTTATTCCACTTTTTTAGTGATTTAAAGATTTTTCTTTTTTCTTTTTATTTTTTTTTGTTTTTATTTTTTTCTTCTTTTGCTTTTACTCTCCACACTTCAAATAAAAATTCTACCAAAAAGAAAAAATATTGTATATAATATGTTGTAATCTTCTTTATTTTTTATATAATGTATTGTACATTATCTACTATCGTTTATTACAAAAAAAAAAAAAAAAAATGACAGAGCGAACAAACTACATGAACAAAAAAGGGTCTTACAAAGGGTTCTACACACATCTCTGGTGCTAGATACTTCCTAGGTCGATGGCAGCACTTCTAGGGAATTGGGTGTTTTACAGACTCTGATGTGTATTCGGGTTTAGAAAGGATTCAGGAACTCCCATTACAGTGCCCACGCCTCGGGGCCTCTAGTATGTTCTGTGTCTGGGCGATTGGTTTGAGCTCCAGGCGGTTACTATAGCGAAAGTGCTTGGACCATTTCCAACCCGAATACACACTAGAACACCTAAGTCTCAATAAGTGCTGCCATTGACCTAGGAAGTATGTCTAGAACCCTAGCCAAGTATTTGACTCAATGATGGTCAGGTAATGTAGGAGAGTTTGTATTATAAATAGGCCATCCGTATAATAAAAAACAATTTAATGAATAAAAGGCATGCTCAAACTATATGAATATCTAAAATAAATAAACCATACAATCAAAAACAAATTTATAAATGAAAATCTTTGTACTAAAAGATAAATCATTATCCAATGAAGAATACATGAAAATCACAATGGTTGCTAATATAGTTTTTTCTTTCTTTGCCCACTCATAAGATTCATTAAAACATTTTGTTTTTAAACCTTGCAACATTATGATAGTACCTTGCAAGCTGAATCATATTCTTGTCAATTAAATCTTTAAATAATTCAACATCATTTTAGACATAGGAGAAAATTTAACAAAATTATAATAAGCAACTTTGTATGCCTTGCCACGTCCATACTTGTATATGCTTGCTCACATTTCTGCTTTTGTATCTCATTATTGTTAGAGAGGCTTTTAATTTGTGCATCAAACTTACCTTTTCTTTTCAGAAGAACCGAGTATCCCTTTTCATCAATTATGGTCGTCTTAGCCATAGCAATAAAATACTTGTAAGAATGTAGAAAGCCATTAATGTTATCCGACTATTTGTTGATAATAGGGAAGCATTACTGAATTATCTAAAACACAAGAAATTATATCAAAGCAGAATCCAAAAATCCAAATGGCATAGAAAACTTTATTTAAAATTCATAATACGTATAAAATTAAAAATATCGTAATTTAACCTTCGTTCATGATAAAACAAAAAATAAAGTTTTATTTATTTCAGTTTTTAAGTCACATATCGAAAAATAATGAAAACCAATTAACCTAAATTCATAAAAATAAAAAAGGAAAGAAAAACAGCATCCTAAATGAATTCAAAAAGGTAGTTTATGTGATTATATTTTAAGATTAATACTTGAAATTAAAATATTTTAGGTTGGTTAAAAAACTAGCATTTGAATAATGAAGATGGTGCTACTTAGAAAAAATAGGAAAATAAGAAAAAATGGTAATAAAAAATGTAAATTCAAAAGCCTAAAAAAATTTCTAACCGTTTTTTAAAGTGGAGTGATGGAGTCTCAATTTCTATCTTAGTGTTTTTTTTTTTTTTTTTTTTAACTTTTATTATGATTTTACTGTACTAAATATGAAGAGAAAAAATACGATATTCTTTTCCTTTCCTTTTCGGTTCTCTCTCTCTCTCCCTCTTTTTTTTTTTAACAAAATATAGTATAAGAAGAGTTTTAGTTGTCATTTTGAAGGCATTGCATGAAACATTTATATTGATTAATTGGGTATGGATAAACCAAATCCCACTAATTTTTCTTTTGATCAATCGTTGAATGTAATAATAATAAACATGTCAAATTACTCATGTTACACTGCAGGAAATTTTGAGAAGATCAAAATTTTTTTAAAATTAATTTTTTTATTTATTATTTAATTGTGCATCAGAATTTCATCTTTCATAAATTCTTTAATTTTTTATTTTATTTTTTTTTATATTTTCATCTTTATTTATTATGATTATTTGAAAACTAATCCTTATATTGGAAGAATTTTCTTGGAGTCTTCTAAATTATTCCTTACAATGTAGCCAAAAAAATTTATTCCTTGCATTGAAGATGTTTATTGTTATTATTAATTTTTTTTTCGCCAGAAGAAATGAACATTAAAGATGTTTATTAGAAAAATACCATTAGACAGTTTCATGAAATTTCCAATATTGAGAATTTTCAAACAATTTTTTATACATTAATTTATTTACCAAATAATATTGCTAATATCAAATATTTTTAATGAAAATAAAATAAATAAAATAAAAAGAGCTTAATGATTATAGCACACAAATTGGATTATGTCTTGGGCTTGCACCAAAAATGTTGATCAATGAAAAGGTTTTGAGCCAGACTCATTGGGCTTGTACCACCAACGAGTCTATGTCCTTTCATCCTCTTTTTTAAAGGAAACTGGTTGAAAACGGTGACGTTGGGAGCCTAAAACTTTTTCTCCCCACTTTATGTAAACATTCTGGAGTTCCGTCGACTGTTACAAAATCAACTTTCCTTAAGAACCCTCGTCCCTTCCATTATTCTTTTAATTTTTATTGATATTTCCCGCTTCTGCTTAGTTATTAGTTATTCGTAATTTTTCTTTTTCATTTTAGTTTTCATTGTAAAACTCTTTTTGTTTGGATAATACAAAATTTCTGATTAGTTCTAAAAAGTTCTATTGGGGAATTATTTTTATCATTATTTTGCAGGAATTTTTTTTTTTTTTGCATTCTTTTTATTCAACTTATTTTGTGCCACTGCCAAACTTTGGTTCAAGTACAGATAGTAATGAAATTTGGAATATTTTAATAATTTTTATATTTTTAATGTCTAATTTTAGGTTTTATACCTTGGAAGTACAGATTCTATTCTAATGAGTTGTCATTCACCTGTTGATAGTGTTAGTTACTTTCATACGTTGCACGACGGTGGTGAGATCAATCCGTTTTGACAGTGTGTGCATTTGTGGTGGATGCCAAAGCTTTGGCAAAATCAAAGAGAGCTCATTCTCAACACCATAGTAAAAAGTCTCATTTGAGTCAAAAACTAATACCTCCATCAGCTGGTGCTAATGATGCTGCAAATGCAAAAATGCAGACAGGCAAGCAAATTAGAGAGAAAACGTGTCAGGCTCAGCGTGTATCTGCACTAGCATCGAATTGGGATCGCTATGAGGAAGAATTTGATTCGGGTTCTGAAGATCCATCTGGTGATACTGCAAGTCAAGCTCCTGATATTATTGTTCCTAAGAGTAAAGGGGCTGACTTTCGTCACCTGATTGCCGAGGCACAGTCTCAGCTGCACTCAAATCCTTATTCAGATAGCCTACCTTCTTTAGATGATGTTCTGCCAGGTACTTATATCTTTATATGTGGTTTAATGTGTAAAAGTTTCTGTTTCGTCTGTATTACATTTGTTCCACCCATTATTTGGTGTATTTATAAAACTAATAAGATACCAGGTTGTATTTTATAGTAGTTTCATTTTTACGAATAGGCATATTTTGCACAATGAGAGAAGAAGAGGGGGTAACAAGTAGGAGAAGATGACTAAGCATCCATTTTTAATAGAATAACAAAAAGAAAATTTTGGGAAGTTATAGTCTTCTCACAGCTGCCCTGACATAGTTGCCAGTTGTTAGGATTAGTCATAAACCTTTCCTTGAGTGATCTTTACGGTCTCCTTTGTGTTCTAAAAGTAAAATTGCTGTAGGTTTCAGTTTTTATTTTAAACTCTTGATGGAAATTTATATATCAGTAATCTTCCAGGAGACTTCAATCAGTTTGTAGGCTCTATGCTTGCAGTCAGGGGAGAGGGTATTCTGTCATGGACTGGGAATGATAATTTTGTTGTGGAAGACAGAACAACTGCACCTCCTGAGGTAATTGCTTTTCTTTTATTTGTTATTTTCATGTACACTGAGCAAGAAATTATAATGGTAAAGACTCAGATTGAGTCATTAATTCTCAAGTCCATTAACACATTGTTTGATGTTTACTGGATATGTACATCTATGTTCTTGTTTTGTCTTTCACCTTATGGTATGAGCTAGCATCTCTCTCTCTCTCTCTCTTATGTGCACACAGCTGCACACTGCACGCATGCCCATATTTGTGCTGCCTTCTCCGTAAGAGTACAACCAGAATATGTATCTCGCAATTTGATGGTAGTGAATTGTTATTATTGTTGTTAACATCAACATCTGATATTGGTGGCAGGTTCAATATGCATAAGTAACTTGGAATTTTATTGGATTCCTAATGCATCAAATTACAAAAACCAGTAATGCAAGCCTTACAATTTCCTATTATGTTAATTGAATGAAGAAGATGAAGCCTTTTTGTGTTTGTGATTTATTTTGCAAAGTTTTTGTGGGTATCTTAATAATGATCTGTCTTTTCCTCAGTCTTACGGGACTAAAAGTGTAAGAAAATCCTGTTTGATAGATGTGTGTATTTGATACTAGGGAAAAAATTGTCATTCTGATTTGGAAGTTATAAATATGCACTGCCTCCGCTAATTGTTAAGTGCATGGTGGATGTATTTCAGTATCCTCTATCCATGTTGAAAGCATCTGTGTTAGACAAGGGAGGAGAGGAATGGTGGAAGAGAAAGGTTGCTTTTTCGGTTTTGATCTTAATTTCTTGGGATAGTTTAGTTAGGGATGATATATTGTTTAAAGCTATTTATTTAAATAGGCATGGTTCATAGAAATTTATCATATGTCAAAAATCTAAGAAAATTTAAAATTGAAATATACTGTTTAGATGCAATCATTGATAGGAGTATGAATCTGGTGCTACTCATTTGTCCTTGGACCATTTACTTGATCATGTTTTTACTGCCATCCACCCACCTTGCATTACTTAGTTGACCTTCTTGTTATCTTTTCACGTCCTTTTTCTTGTGTTTTCTCTTGTAGGCATCATTTCTCTCCCTGAATTTGCATGCACTTGCTGAACAACTTGAAAAAGTAGATTTATCTGAGAGGCTTTTTATTGAAGAAGATCTATTACCACCAAAGCTTTTAAGTCCAATACCTTACATTGATATTCAATTTACTGTTGATTCATAATGATACTTTAATGCCTCAAAGGTGAGGAACTGCAATTCCTGACGCTCACTAAAGGTAAAAACCATGGGGCTGGAAGGTTAAACTGTGAGTTTCAGTAATAACTTATAGAGATCATTCTTTAGATGCCTTGAGAGATGACTGGGACTGAAGGTCATTGGTAGCTAATGGGAGATACAGCTTTCTTAAAAATCTTGGCATTTCGTTTACATTTTCCCTATGGTTCTTGTGCATTCATATAAAGGTTTTTAGTTGTATTGAACCTTTGGTTCCTTTTTTCTTTATTAATTTGACCATATACATTATTGGATTATGGTGGCAGATTAGGCTTACTTAACCTCCCAGTCATATAGCATAATATCAGTTTTTGTGCCTACAAATATGTTTTTAATTTACACTTGAGTATCTATTGAAACATTATCTGGTTTGTATGCCAGAATGCAGAGAGATCAAAGGTAAACAGAAATCAGGAATCTGACCAAATGCAAACAACATCTGATCGAATAGCAGCTGCAAAGATAACTGAAGAACTAAATCTAAATGATTTTCCTGAGACGGTCAACTTTGCAGCCAAAAATGTTGGGCATATGTCATTTGAAGCGGCAGCTGCAGAGGCAGAATTGGATATGCTTCTTAATTCTTTCGATGAGACTAAAATTCTTGATAATTCTGGCTTAAATTCCAAAAAACCCTCAAGTGATTTTCGCAGAGAAGGTTCTCCATCTCTGCCACAACTTGCAAGAAAAGGCATTGATTCATCCAAATCTGCTGTCATTACTACCAGTTTTGATGGTTTACTTCTTGATTTATTACAAGAAACATCCACACGATTTGATGGTTTGTTATTAATTAGAAACCTCACTCATGTAAACCAAACTGATGGATAATTGCTGATCAATATGGCTGTACTCTTCCTTTCCAAGTTCAATGCGTTAGCTTTTTGTTTCGTGCTAGGAGCTGAAATATATATTCAGGCGTCTTTCTATAGTATATAGGCTCTTTCTGTATTGGGGAATTTTGTATCACTTGTACATTTGATGTTGGTGAGACGCTTGCCATGTTGCCCGAATGTCAATTTCAGGGCCACGATTTAGGTGAGGAGGAGAAGCTAAGTGGACCTTATCTTACTTTTACTTGATTACACCAACAGGAGCACGACATCTGCCCATGTGCTCACGCAATTAGCATTAGGTGTTTCGTAATACCAAAACGGAGAGATATGCTAACCTCCATGTGATGCAAGAAGCTAACATCTCATCTTTAACACAAAACAAATGTTTCAAGATAGAAAAATTCAGTCAACAAGCCTGGAAGCCTGGAAGCAGATTTGAATTATGAATACCAATAGTCAAGAAAAGACAGTCATCCAAGAAAGAAATAACTTAGATCAAATCATCCAATTCCTTGAGAATCATTCTAATCGAATCAATAATCCCATTTCAACATGTCAAGAAACAGAAAAGTAGAAAAGAAGAAGAATTGATAGAAGATGTACTATCTTGATTGGTATTTCTTTGTAACAAAGTTACCTTCCTAATTGGGTTAATTCTAAAACCAAAATAATAATAATAATAATAATAATAATCTTCCATTTTCTGGCGAACAAAGCTCTTTCGAGTCAGAAATTATCCAACCAAACCTATACAAGAAATTTTTAAAAAAAAAAAAAAGAAAAGAAAAAGAAACTCACAAAACTGCATCAATCAAAGCCACAAGGCCCCGGCATCTTTCAACACGGGGACCAACTCTCCACTAATATGAGTAGCCATAACTTTATCCAATCCCCCAAACAACTTCCCACCGATAAACACAATCGGAAGCTGCAGCGTTTTATCTTTTCCATCACCTTTACAAATCATTCCCAATTCATTCAAAAAACCAACCTCATCCTCCTCATCAATCTCATTAACCGCAGGGTTTACACCCAGCGCCAGCAGCAAACGCCTCACTACATGGCTCATGCAGCAACCCTTCCTGGCGAACACAATCACAGCCTTCTCTGATACAATGTTAAGCATGTATTTGCTGCCTCCTCCATTGCTTAGTACGAGGTTGTTGTGGCCAACTGTTGATGAGGCACGATGGGAAGTAGTGTTGACGCATGGCAGAGGCCATGACTTGTATGGAATTGCTTGTTGCATGCTGAAAATCAATAATATATCTGAAAAAAGAAAAGAAAAAAAATTAGAAGCAAAGAGCTTACTAGCTGATGGAAATGAAAATGTGAGCAAGCTTTTATGCTCTGGGAGATGAAAAGGAGCATAAATATATATAGGAAGGAGTACAGGGTAAAGAAGGGGAGGCGAGTTGGGATTTTGAAAGGGTCAGCCGTCAACAAAGGTTTGCCTTTTTCCTTACGCGGCTGTGGCTGTATACTGTACATGGGTTAGTGGCTGTATACTGTACATGGGTTAATGGCTGACGTTTATTTGGTGTCATTTTTTTTTGTTGTGCAATGCGTGTTCGTTCATGTCCAGATACCAAAAATGTTCTCATTGATTTTTTTTTTGTATATCTGATTCCCTATTTGCTTTGTTCCAGTGAAGGCGACCCCTTTTTTTTTTTTTTTTTTCCAAATCCAATGTATATCTAATTACCTAGTTGGTCCAATTAGTTGTCAAAAGCACTGTTGAAAGCCCGGATTTAAATGTGTACGCCATCAGCATGCCGTGACGTTTACCAAAATTAAAGACAACAATGTACGCATTTGCTGACAGTCTACAACAATAGATTAACATTGCTGGTAATAAGATCATATGTCTATTATCTAAAGAAAATATATGGTTAATGCATGTAGCATGTTGTCGTTTACTTTTATCATTATATTTTAATCATCAGGTTCTATATGCATGTTATCTATAATTGCAGATTTTGTACAAATATTTTATACTTTCAAGTGTATTTTAACCAATCAAAAATTCATTAACTGTCTAACTTTAATCTATAAATGACATGATTTTCCAAACTGACTATTAAAATTGTGACTTTACCTTAAATTATGAAAACCTAATTTTTTTTTAATAAATAAGGGCTGGCTAACAATCCTCGTATTTCATTCTCTCCCTTGAACAATAAATCAGGACTCAATAACATCTTTAAAAAAAAATCTCTAACATATTATATACGTCATCGGACAATATTTATTTATAAACAAGTCTTTCAAATATGTTATCTCATTCATAAATTTCATTGATCAATATATTATAGTATTTATTAAGTTCTTGGATTTAGCGTCATTTGGCTTGACAAAAAAAGTAAGATAGCTTTAATGAAGGAAAAAAGAAATCTTACTGGGCATGGAATTTTTGCATTTCCATTTGTCAAGAGATAACACAAAAATCAAGTAATATTAAATTTGAACTTTATTTTTCCAGACAATAAAAAAAAAAAAACGAGGTTTAAATCTGGAAATTCGAAGCCTTTTTTTTCTTTTGTGCGCTAATGGATATTATTGTGACCCAGTTGCTCACGTCATTGTGAATGAGCTTTGAGCGGAGAAAAAGGCAGTTGGCGGACGGTGAGGGAAGCCCAAGTCAGCGAGGGGCCAACCCAAAGCTTACCATTACCATACATCACCACACGTATGCTGTAATGTCACGCCTTGGGCCCACCACGTGGCAAACAGAGCAATTCCTTCCATTTTGTCGTTGCTATGTCTAAAATTTCCAAAGCCACATCTCGTTGTCTTACCACGTTAGCTAAATAATACGTGGACCTTCCCGAACTGATAACGTTTGCATGATGTCATAAAAATGGCCTTTCTAACTTTTGTTTTATTCCTCTGAGCTTTGTCTCTCATCAGCCATTCGGCGCCGGTTAGTAGAGATATCAATGGGTAAATGTGACGTATGGTTAGAGTATTCTTTATTATTTTTATATTTAATAGTTTTTTAAATTAATTTTTTATAAATATTTAACAAATATGAGTAATTTTTGCATTCATAATTCTTAAAAAAAATAAATATAAATTTTTTAAAATATATATTTAAAATATAAATATATGTTAATATATATTTTTAAATAAAAATATATTAATTTTAATTAATTTAAAATAATAATTTATATTATTTAATAAAAAATTTATTTACTAAATATATATAAATATATATAATGTACGAATATGAGGTGGATACTATATTACTCATCTATATTATTGTATTCTATAAAAATTTAAAATCATACATATTTCAATCTTCATAATATAATACTCATCCCATCCTCATTCGGATGAAAAATTGGATTATTCATCAAGAATGGATAAGATTGACATCTTAACCTATCAACCTCTAAATGTTTCAAGCTTTATCTTAGAGTTAATTTTTTAAAATTTTAATTTGGTGATAAAAAATTATAAAATATGCCAATAATCGTATGATATGTTGTTAGAATATTATACTCTTAATTTTAATGATTAAGATTTAAATTTTAACAGTCTCAAGTGTCAAAAAAATTAAATATTAAAAATTTTATTAACTTATCATTTTTTTAAAATAACTATAGTAATTAATTAATTAATTATTAACTATATTTCATTATCACATCAATTTTATTAAATATTATTATATTTAATTATGCTGACATGTGTGACACGTCATTTTTAGGACAAAGTTGAAAGTTTTTTATAAGTTCAAGTTATTCTTGACAATTGACAATTTAAGACACCATCTTAATGTTGCTGCTGCTAGCCATCATTACATTTGCCACAACCACCACTGCCATAATCACTACTTCCACAACCATCGTTGTCACCATCACTGTTCCTACCACTGCCCTTGTTGTTATCACCATCAATCACTCAAACCCAACAGAAAAATAGAAACTTTCATATTCAAACTTTGCATGCATCAAAATCAATAATCAAATTAATAAAAGATAAAAAAAAAAAAAAGTTTTTTTACACAAACAGCAAACCCACAAAAGAAATGGCTTTGGCAATCCTCATTCATAGTCCTAAAACAAACAAAATCCAAAAAGAAAACTCTTTATTTCTTTCTTTCATTGCCAAAAAATAAAAATAAAAATAAAAAGAGTAGAGGTGAGGTGAGGTTTTGAGATGGGTTTCAATTTTAGGGTGTTATACTAGTGTAGACATCAAATTTTGTCTGAAACATTTTAGTATGGTTGAATAAAACCCATTTGAAGCTTATAAAAAGATCCCTTAAAAAGCTCATAAAATGCATCGATATTTAGGCTTAATAAACAAAGAAAAATAAGACTCATATGGTTACTGTCAAATTCTTTTACATGAAATTTATATGAATGATACTTTTTCACATGGATGCATGAGAAATAAAGAATAAATTAAACGAGCAAACCCCAAAGTCAACTCTAGTTAAAATTGCATAAAATTTGATCAAAATGAATAAACCGAGGTCAATCCTCAAAGTTCACAACCTAATTGGAATCAATGTGATTTAAAATTATTTTTGGTGAGTTTTTAAAACACTGAAAATTTTTATTGCATTGGAAAAAGTACAAAATTACTAAAATACCCTTTAGGGGTATTTTTGTAATTTGGCCTTCTTGAGATTGGATTTTCATAAAACTTTTCATATCTTAATTTCATAATATTTCATGATTTTTGGTGCATTTGAAATCACAACAGTGCCCCGAAAAGTATAAAATTATCAAAATACCCTTATAAGAGTATTTTCATAATTTGGCTTTTTCGAGCTTGGATTCATGAAACTTTTTAGATCTTAATTTTATAATATTTCATTATTTTTGGTGCATTCGAAATAACAGTAGTACCTTAAAAAGTATGAAATTACCAAAATACCCCTATTGAAGTATTTTTGTAATTTGACCTTCCCGAGCTTGGATTTTTATGAAACATTTTAGGTCTCAATTTTATAATATTTCATGATTTTTGATATTTTTAAATCTAAAAAATGAGCATGAGAACACTAATTTTCAAGAAAATAGCCTATACACTAAAAATTTTATACTAGGGGTAAAATGATCTTTCTATGGGTTTAGAGGCTATAAAAATTCAAATTTTACAATGAATAATAGGGACCATTGGATCTCTCATTGTTCTTGATCCAATGGCCAAAAGATACTCCTAAAAAAAAAGTTTGATATTTGGATGAGATTTGATCCTAGGGTTTATGTTCACTAAAAAGAGATATTTTTGGAAGGTCTAAAATGAAAATGAGGGTGACCATTAAGGGGGAGATAGTCCATCAAAAAGAGGAAGGGGAGGAAGGAGAAAAAAGAATGAACTTTCTAAAAAAAGTAGAAAAAAAAAAAGAGGAAGGGCTCTAAAAAAAATACTTTGATAGGATGAAAGTTTTTGAGGAAACCAGAAAGAAGAAATGAAGAAGATTTCTTAGTGGCCAAAAAAATAAAGGTCTTACAACTAGGAGAAACTCAAGAAAAGGAAAGCTTAAAGGAAAAATGGGAGCTTAACGAAAGAAAAGAAAGTTATAATTCTTGGGAAATTTTTTTTTTAAAAGGTAGTTCCTTCATTTCCCTTTCAGTTTGTTTTCATAAGAACCCTATTGTCTTTATCCTTTCATGTTCACCTTTTCTTCATTTTTTTCATATAGTTGTGCAATGCATGCTATTTCATTTGAAGTTTAAAATTTATTTTTTCCCAACATACTAAACCTTATTGAATGTGGCATGTCAACTGATGTTTGAAACTTCATCTTTTGCATGGGTGTACCATTCTTCATTTCAATAAGGAGTTTATTCATGGAAAAACTCCTTTTTATGTTCATTAGTTCATTATGTAAATGATGTTTATTTGTAATAAATGATCTATGAAGAAAAGCTAAAAATTTTAGATGTTTATGGGTCTTATAGGTAGTCCTACTTTAAGACCATGTCCATTATTTCTTTTTCATTTAGCTAGTATTAGATGTAAATTTAGGAAAGAGGTTGCACCTTTTATGGTAAAATGCTATTTTTACTCTATTCATTCTCATTAAGCAGTGGCAGTTTGGTTGGTATTTTATTACCTCCCCCATCAGTTTCTTTATTGGCTTATCAGGTTATACCCCAGCCTTTGTACTTGTTTTAATTGTCTTAAGAGTTAAACTGGAACCTCATAGTGTTGTTGGGTTAAAGAAGCCAAAACCGAGTTGTTACTGTATATCAATCATAGTTTGGAGAGTTGTTTATAGGTATACCTTATTATTTTCTCTTCCTTAATTCTCTTATTTTGGTTGTCAAATTTCCTAAGATTTAAGAGCCAAAACACCTCTTTTTAAATAAAAATACATCCTTGTAATTTCATCTTCTAGGTGTTCTTCTTTAT